TGGTTGACTATAGTTTTGTGGTGGGCGGGAGCAGGGCCACCACCTTGATCCCGCCTTACCTTGCGGTTTTGCCCAATGTAACACCTTTGAGAAGTGTCCCTCTGGCTTAGAAGCTTTTGTCTCGCTTAGAAGTTTTTCTTCCCTTTAGTAAATTCTTCGTATCCTTAACTTCTGTTGTTCTTTTTTTTGTCTTTTTCCTTTTTATCGGTACCAGGGATCGAACCCACGACTGCCTGCTTCCAAGGCAGGTACTTATGCCGCTGAGCTAAATCCCCAGCCCCCCCTCCCCCAATTTCTGTTGTTCCTAGAATTCATGCTTAAGTTTTAGAGAACACAAGCTCGTATTGGACCTCTAGCAGGTAGGGAGTTATATTTCCCTTACATATTTGGAGGTCTTATATCATCCCTATGATAGTTGAGATTTGCCGGGGATGCCGGCGTTACCCTTTGGTTCTAATTTCTTTTCCTCCTTCTCTCTCTTCCTTCCTTTTGAGGGTACTTCGGATTGAATCCAGGGTCTTGCACAAGCTGGTTGAGTGCTCTACCACTGAGCTACACCCTCGGTCCTTTTAATTTATTTTTGTGATGCTGGGAATTGTTTCGCACTGAGCTACATCCTCAGTCCACTTTTATTTTATTTTTTTAGATTTTGAGACAGAGTTTCACCAAGTCCTTAAGTTGCCCAGGCTGATCTTGATCATGTGATCCTCCTGCCTCGGCCTTCCAGAGTGCGGGGATTAACAGGCATGTGCCACCACGTATTATTTTGAAGAAAATCCCACTTGCGTCTCTTCTCTGCACTGTGCTACACCATCGCTTTCACGGTGCTGAGGCAGAAACGGCCTCCCACACGTCAAACCCCTGCTCGTTCTCCTCCCCAGCCCCTGAGCCAAATTTTCCTGTTTTAAAAATTAAGCAGTCGGGGGCTGCGATTTAGCTCAGCGGCATAAGCGCCTGTCTTGCAAGCAGGCAGTCATGAGTTCGATCCCTGGTATCAATAAAAAGGAAAAAGACAAAAAAAAAAAAATTTTTTTTCTGTTTTAAAAATTAAGCAGTCGGGGGCTGGGATTTAGCTCAGCGGCATAAGTACCTGCCTTGCAAGCAGGCAGTCGTGAGTTCGATCCCCGGTACCAATTAAAAAAAAATTAAACTACTAATGTGAGCAATATTTTACTTTGCAGAAAACTTTTTTAAAATGAAAGAAAAAAAATTAACCCATAATCTCACTGTAGAGACAAATGATATTGAACACTGATTTTTTAACAAGAAAAATTTAATCTGTAACTCAGGTTTACTCTATTGTGTAAACATAAATTTGTATAAATACAATTTATACTAGTATGTAGTAACATAAACACTGATATTCTTACTTGACTTGTATAACTTTATTTGGCATAAGTACCAATAAAAACGAAAAAGACAAAAAAAAATCAAGCAGTCACTGTGGTTCTCCCTTTTGCGTCTTGTCAGAAACGGTGTAAGAATAAATCCTCACCACGAGAGGGCGCTGGACCATGAAGAAATGCGCCGCGTTTTGGAAACAAAAACTGAAGCAGCCGTCAGCATCAGAGGGGCGACAGCGCCACCACCCGGTGATGGCTGTGTGCTTTGGTTGCTCAGCCCAAGATCCGTGGATTTCACCTTTAATTCCTTCCTTCTTGGGTGCAGGGAAGGAACCCAAGGCCTCACACAGCAGGCAAACATTGTCCACGGAGCCATCCTCAGCCCAAGCAGGTCTTTCTATCCTGGTGCTTTGACAATGCCAACCCCCACTCCCTGGCAGTGCTGAGCTCCAGCTCCAGTCCTTTTTATCTCAGTTTGGAAGAAAGATAGAAAGGGTCTTACGATTCAGGTTGGCCTCAAATTTGGGATCCTCCTGCCTCAGCCTCCCATGTAGCTGAGAGGACAGTTGTGTGCCATAGGGCTCGGCCTCACGGTCTTCTTACACTCAGACAACTGGGAAGGACTCAGGTGGACCTTCCTTCCCGATGGGCCTGACACTTCCCGCATGGCCCCGTGTCTCTCTGTGGACGGTGGTCCACATGCTGTCCCATCAGGACAACCTGCGCTTATTCAGGTGCTTCACTGCACCTGAATCCTAACACCGCAAACACTGCGGTCTCGGCTTCGGGACACACCCCAACTCCGCATGGCTCGGGCTCCCTCCACGAGGCTCCCCTGTCCGGGCCCACCCCACTATAGTTTGTGCCTAGATGTCCCCCACAGCCTCATGCATAGGGTGGGGTGGGGGGCAGAATCCAAAGCGTGTGGCTGATTCTCTGTGCAGTGCTGGGCAGCACCACCCTGACCCAGCAGTCTGGATAAGATAGAGACTCGCTTCTGTCTGATGTTCTTGTTGCTTTTGCTGTCCTCGGCCACCGGGAAGCTCCTCTGCCACACCACCTGCCTGGGAGCCAGCAGATTAAGGCCTGAAACCTCTACACATTGTCAGCTAAATAAACCTTTCCTCGCTAACTGTGGGCATCGGGTATTTTGTCTCAGCAACGTGAAAAGTAACCAAGACCCACTCCAGTCTTGAAGCAGCAGAGAGCCTGTGCTACAGTGAGGTTCCTGGGCCCTGTGGTCCCCACCTGCCGACTGAAGGACTGACAGCACCTGTCCTTGGAACCTGCGGTGAACCAAGTTAAACAAACAACTATTTGCTGTGCTCACCTGTAATTGCACAACCAAGGGAGGCTGGGGCAGGAGATCTTAAGTTTGAATTCCACCTGGGCTTTTAATAAGACCTTGTTTCAAAAATAAACACTAAAAAGGGTCAGGGGTAGCTGAGTGGTAGCGTACCCTGGGCTGGATCTCCATACACACACACATACACACACACACACACACACACACACACACACACACACACACACACACACATGGCTAAGTGTATATGAGTGAACAGAGCCAACCAAAAGAAAAGGAAGATGCTAAAGAAACCTGCCAGCATTTGCTTGGCACTGCATATACTACAATGGGAACGATACATTCCTCCAGCTTAGTTTTTGCGGTACATGTATGCTAGGCCTTCTGCCCCGCTGAGCCACATCCCCATCCCTTTTTAGTTTCTGTCTTCATCAGGGTCTCATGAAACTAACTCTGAATTGTCCAGGCTATGCTCAAATTTGTGATCCTCCTGCCTCAGCTTCCCATGTAGCTGGCATTACAGAAGTGCACCGCCGCACCTCAGTCTGAGTCTTACATTTCCCCAAACCTCACCTGTTGAAACCACAGCCTGCAGTTGATGATGCCATTGGGAGGCAGTGGGAACAGAAAGAGGCTCCACGGGAGGAAGTGGGCACTGGGGGCTTCTGAGGGTGTGTTTGGCCCAGGACCCGCCTCTCTCTGCTGTCCACCAGGAGGCGAGCAAGCATGAAGCCTCTCTAGCCTTCTACTGTGACGGCCCTGTCCTGGTGCCAGCTAACCACGGACTGAAGCATCTGAACCCCTGAGCCAAGTGAACTTTTCCTCCTGCAAACTGTTTGTCTCAGCGGCCAAAAGCTGAGTCACATAAACACAGAGGTCAGAGTGGACCTCTGCAGGGAGGACATACAGATGCCTGCAGTGTTCCATACTTATAACATTTTCAACATAAGCTGGGCATGGTGTGCATACTTTAATCCCAGCACTTGGGAGGCTGAGGCAGGAGGACTGATGAGTTCAAGGCCAGCCTGAATGCCACTGTGAGACCCTGTCTAAAAAAAAATAACAAGAAACAAAATATACACTTGCATAATATGTTAGAGTGTACAGTACTAAGTACAGTGCAGACTAATGGGAGGGGAGAATGGCTTGCGGTGACTGGGACACGAACCCAAAGCCAGAGGGTGGTGATGAGTGTGTGTGTGGTGGCTCTGGAGATGAAGGTCTTCTGAGAGAGCTTTCTCCACAACGCCCAGGCCCATGCCAGTCATCTCAGCCCATGAAAGCTGCCTGAGTCTTCATTTTTGGGAGTTGAGTTTATTTTTTCATTCATTTTTTGAGACAGGCTCTCGCTATGCAGTTCAGGCTCGCAGTGATCCCCTGCCTCAGCCTCCCAGATGCCAAAATAAAGGCGTGTGCTACCATGTCCAGCTCACTCTGGTTGTTCTTTTTTGTCTTTTTGAGAGAGGGTCTTGCTATGCAGTTCAGGCTAGCTCTGCATTCACTTTGTAGCCCAGGCTGGATTCAAACTTGCAGTGATCCTGCCTCAGCCTCCTGAGTGCTGGGATCACAGAAGTGTGCCACCACCCCTGGCTCCAGCTCACTCTTGAGTTTTGCTTTTTCACTGTTACCTCAGTTTGCATTAATTTGTGAATACTGCCCCGTCCTCCCCCATAGAAGAGGAATACTGAGGTTGTGGCCTGCCCATACCCGGTAGGGTAGACCGGACCCCAGAGCCTGCCTCTGAACGTCTGTGTATACGTGAAGGAGCTGCCCCAACATGTCTGGACTCAAATCATCTCGGTTTCCTTCCTTCCTGAGAAGGAAGTGTAGTGACGCAGGACTGGGCAACAGAGGGACATAAAATAAAGCAGGAGGGCTTGCGGCCTGCTCCATGCCGAGGCCTGCTCAGCCCAGCTCCAGCTGTGGGGCCCCAGTGGGGGCCCTGTTTAATCCCGGTCACTTGCCTCAGGTCTTGGAGGGGAGCTGGACAGTGGCTGTGATCCGGGAAGAAGGGCTCTGTTTCCTCAGCCCAGACACCTCTGACACTGCCCCAGTCTACCCCGGCCTCCACATTTCTTTCCACTTGGCATTGCCTTTGGATTTGTGTATTCAGTCAGACACTCCTGGCGACGTGGTGACACAGGTGTTGGTGGGGTCCTGTCAAACACACAGCAAGGCCCTTGCCATCCTCCACCCTTTAGCTCACGCCAGAACGTTCTGGACATGGTAAATGGCTCCATCTTTACACGACTGACAAGCGTGTTTAGTAATTCAGATCCACGGGCAGGCAACACCATAAGAAAACCATTACTGCTCTCCAGGCCCCAGGCGACCAAAGAAAGACAGTGACAGAGGATTGTGTATTTTGTTTAATACTTGCATTGTTTCTATAGCGCAATTATAGCAATCTTTAAATTTACTTTTCATTACAAATATTTGTCAAGTTTTGTTTCAGAAACAGTTTTCCTACTCTCCTGCACATGCACCCAGACACACTACAAAAAATTCATTCGTAACACAGGAAGGGCAAACGTGACTCATGTAAACATCTTCCGCTAATGTCCCATCATTAAAAACCCATAGAATTGTAGATACGGAATAAGGCTCGTAGATTTAGTTCATATTCCACAAAAGACCAAAGATGCTTGTTGACCGTGAGGGGGTTCAGCCTTGGTTGCCATGAATGCTGAAAGCGGACCCCTGACTTCCACTCCTGAAACAGAACCTCTCAACCTAACAGATGCATTTCAGGATAAAAAGAGAACACAGAAAACCCAGGAGGAAAAACTTTTGCAGTAGGGAGCGCAGAATCATTCTTACATGATAAGCAGTCATTCCACAGTCCCTGTGGTTCCTCCATCCGCTAATCAAGAGTAATTCTAGTGCAACCCAAAATGTAACGAGAAGATGGGTTAGGATACGTTGGTGTGTGTGTTCATATTGCTAGTATACACAGTGAAAAGCTGGCATCCTATCATCCTTTCATTAAATCCAGGACCCAAAGTGAAAAAAAAAAAAAACAAAACCAAACAAAAACAACTCACTCCAGTCAAATATCATTGGAAAGGAATTCTTTTTTTGTTTTTTGTTTTTCCAGGAACACAAGTCAGGAGAGCCGGGAGGTATGTCGCAGGGACGCGGATGGTGTGGATACTCCAATGACTTCAGACTGTGTGTCAAGTCACAGGCAGAGGCGCAGGGCTCTGTGATCCGAGGACTCGTCTCTCTCTCTGGTTGGAAGTTTGGTGCCGGGGTGCATGGTCATGCAGAGCGGAGACAGGAAGTGTGCTGGGGGACCGCCCTGGCCAGCAGCTGCTCCTCTGTCCCCCCTCTGGAGGTGGAGGGCTGCGGGCAGAGGTGGCTGGCAAAACCCTGAAGTCCCCCCTCCCGGGTCTGGACCCCAACTCCACTGAGGGCGGCCTCCCTGCCGGGTGGCCGGGCAGTAGGGCGGCAGGTGATGGTGGCCAGAGACCCAGCTCCAAGGGTCCTGGCCGAGTCTGGCTTCGGATTCTGCTGCCCTGCAAAGAAATTGTGCTCCAGATAACTGCACCGAGTCTCGATCGCCTCGGATCCACTCCCAGGCCCCGGGACCCTCGGGGAGATCGCAAAAGGTGAGCGCACCTCCGTTAGCACCGAACTTACCACCAGGAAGCGGCGGAGGCACTGGGAAGCCTACGGGCTCTCTCCACCCGGTCACCACCAGTCAGAGGGATTTGTAGGCTTTGATTTTTAAAAATCAAAATTGATCTGCATTGTATCTCAATAGACTCAGAGAATTCTCACCAAAAATTTCTGTGATGTGTTTAAATAGCACTGGAATAACTTGACTTCATTTAAATATATTCATTCTACCATGAAAATATTTCATACAAACGTCTATTTACATACAGACACATTAAAATTTGTGAAAAGGGTTTCCACCCCTGTGGATGTATGGCTTGAAATTGCTTCATTGCTTTGAATATGTATGCACACGTTTAGCCAAAGAAAACCTTGAAAATTTAGTATTTTTAAAATTAAAATGAAACAAAACAAAACCCTGCCATCGAGGATCCAAATTTCTGAAGGGAAAAAAATCTTAAGAAAAAAAAATTTCTCAAGGTGTACCTCAAGTAGATGTAAATTTAATATATTTTGTGAACCTTTGATCTGTGGCAAATAGACATAATATCCATTCTTGCAACATAGTTTTGCTTGTTTTTCTAAAACAAAAGATGTGTGGATTCTAAATTGCTACTTTTAGGACAGAAACTTGAGGCAACTGAAAACAAAACAAGAGAATCGTATCTACCTTCTTGGGAGATTTTAAATGCATTTTGCCGAGTGATTTAAAGTCTCATTTTTTTAAAAAATGAAAGTTAACTAAAAGTGCCACATACTGTCTCACTAACACAATCTTTCGTTCACTGTTCGCAATGAATGCAATTTTATTTTTGTGTTTGTGGTGCTGGAGTTCAAACCTAGGGCCTCTTGCCTGAGAGGGGAGTGAGTTCCCACCGAGCTACACCCCCACCCCAGGCCTTTGCAGCCCTTCGCAACTTAATAACTGTCACACTTCAGTGTTGCAGATGGTTACACTGGGCCCTGTTGGTTTTGTCTGGTTTCTTGGTGAGAAGGAAACACATTCTCAAGTGTGATGAACCTCAGAGGGCAAAGAGTTTCACTGTCACCCTGGATGGGTTCCAAAAGGTCTTGAAAAATGAATTTCCTTTTTGGTTGCTCAGGGAGACCAGGGATGAAGCAGGTTAAAATAAGAATAGGTACTACAGACCCAAGTCCGCCTCGCCTGCTGTCTTTTAATTCATCCATCATTCCTTTGTGTCGGAAATTCAGTCCTGACCTTTTTTGTTAGTCCACACAAAAGCCATCTGGGGACGTGCTCTTGCCAATTAGTTCCTATTCCTAACTCTAACACAAGATAATATTTCATCATAGAAAAGATGCTAAGGAGAGATCTAGTCATGCAGGGTTTGCACTGGGACAGCTCTGAATGAGTCCCCTGGGACCACGGTATCTCCCACATGCCAGGCTCTAGCTCCTCTGGGGATGGCCTAGAGTCATTTGTTTATGCCCCACCACTGGGAATCTGCCACATTTTGGCCACGGTTCCACTGCCCAGGTGATGGGGATGACAGTCACTTCCTTAGGATACACTTTGAGCACCTATCAGAACATGTGTCTGGAGATCCTATCTGTCACAGTGTGCAGGGCAATCTCTTTCAACAGAATAGAAGCGATCCTATCCTGGTGCTTTTTAATCAAAATATTTTGTTAAGTTCCTTTTGTGGGAGATCTTTCTGGAAGCCCTGACAACTTCCTTTTCTGGGCGAATAAGCCCCTTAAGCTTTCAAGCAGGGATCTGACGGCCACCCAGCTTCAGAGCATGAGGTTGCAGGCAGTGCTCTAGGAATCCTGGCCTTGGGAAAAGGCAAGGGCGGCAAGTCTGACCTGCAGGGCTGAGTCCCCCCCGGAAGCTGGGAAGCAGGCCCGATCCCCAATCAAGCACTTTCCTTAGAAAGCCTTTTAAGAGCAACGTACAACCAAGAAACAGCACCTTTCCCGCTTCCTGTCTCCTTCGGCCTCTCTCCCCAGGGCTCAGTCTACTACCTCGGACAAGGCTTTACCTTTGCAGATCAAACTGGCACAGGTGACAGCTGACAGCTGCACCTCAGAGCAAATGTGGCTCCCAGAGTTCCTGAGCCTCACACCCAAGTAGTGAAAAGATGTAAATCATGGCACGGGGTGAGGGTGCTCAGAAAAAACCAGAACTCTTAGGACGCGTTCAGAGCAATCCCAGTTATGTCACAGATCTAGTATGCTAAACTAAAAACAGGGGTTTTCTCCTTATTTTGCAGTTGTGTTTATACATGGCTTGCAAAATGGCTGAAATGCTATTTATGCTGTTGCTTTTAAACTACGCAGGTGTGAACATTTAGCTTACAATGCTCTGACGCAGGTAAGGACTTTGAAATTTCAACAATGAAGTTTCAGATTTGTACCTAGTGGTCAGTATGTTTGCCTTTATAGTATTGATTTAAAAGAAATTTTTGCATCCTGCATTAGAATTCAAGTTAGTTATTCGACTGTTGAATTCAATGCACTTGTGCCACAAGCCGGACTGCACTAGGTTAGGTATATTTAAAGTGTCCTCAAGGAGAAAAACTTACTAGCACTATTGAAGATATTGCAAAATTGCCACAGTTACTGCTGAGAAATACTAATTTTCCTCTCTTCTTTCTTAAGGTATATATTACAACTCTTCCATAACTTAATGCAGACAAAGGAAATTCATTTCTTCTCACATAGGAAAGCAAAGATACCTTTGTTTACATGCGAGAATAATAGTTCTATAATAATATGCCAGCCTGAGGAGCCGGTACTTTATATTAGGACATAATAATGAACTAATGATGTAGGAAGAACCAGAGAGGCCTCACACTGCCTGGATGGGGCATCCATGGGGAGGCTTCTCTGCACAGGGTATCTAATAAGGTAGGGAACAGGACCCACGAAAAGGACTAGAAGTGGGCTTTTGTTCACTGGGGAAAAACAAAGCCATTCTATTGCAAGATACAGATCAAAGGTTAAAAGGCAGATGATACTATACTTAGAGAATAAAGATGTAGTAGTTCTCTACTCGGAGACGGCCCCTATGCAAGTGTGATAGCCCAATTTGCGTCGGCCCTAGGAAAAACATCATGGAAAAAAAACCACTGAGAAACATGGCCAAAAGCCCCTTTCCCTTTCTCAGTCTGTCGTGTGATCTCTGAATTCTGTAGAGATTTAGCTGCAAACCACTGGAGAACCTCAGGCTGTGGGTGTCGAGGGCTCCACGCCGCCTCGGGCTGGGGGCCGTGTTGCGAGGTCAGCGAACTTTACATCTGCTAAGAGTAACGCAGTCAGACCTGTTAGTATGCGAGGAGGTCGCGGCTAGCGCAGGGGAGGATGTGACGCACAGCACGAGCAGTCCCTGGTTGTCCCGTTGATGTTGTGGTCGGCGTCGGGCGAATGGAGTGCATAGATCCAAGGTTCTACTCCAGCTCTCTGGAGCCGCCGAGCCAGCCCTTCACTTCTGCTGGCTGGCCTGGAAGGCCTTCAGCTCCAGCTGGTACCACTCGGGGGCTTCGGGCCCGCTCTTGCCCCGGGGACTGTGGTCATAGCCGTAGGCCACGGTGAGCTCCTCGTCGGCGTCCACAGCTCGCAGGGTGCGGATGCATTTGATAGGCCCGAAGCGGGGGTGGACAAACCTGGACACCGAGGTGACAAGATCATTCCTGGGCCAGACGGGCAGGCTAGCGGCGAAGGTCAGCAAGGGGCTGGAGCAAGAGACTTCCCACGCCCCGCCCTCGATCCTGCCTGTGTGGTGCGGGTCAGCCAGCATCACTCACCCGGGCACCCTGGTGGGGGACCTGCCGGGCTTCACCCTATGCACCCAGGTGACTGACTGGCAGGTTCAAGTTTGAAAAGCACTGCTGTGTTTTTCTTTTTAAGGCAGCACTAGGGATTGAACCCAGGTCCTTCCCTCTGAGCTACATCCCCAGCCCTGTTTTATTTTGAGACCAGCATCTCCTGAAGTTACTAAGTTGCTAAGCTGGGCTGCATCTTGCCATCCTCCTGCCTCGGCCTCCCAGAGTGCTGAGATCACAGATAGGTACCACCACATCTAGCACACACTCTGCCTTCTCTTTCGAGAGTGTTTGGAACTCTGTGATACAAATCCACCTCCATCCCAGGAGGAGCTGCGCACTCAGGCCAAGCTAAGGGGATGACGATGACAGGAGAGACGCTGGACTGTATCCTGGCCCAGAGCCGAGATTTTGGGCTTTGGGTAGGAGACATTCCAGGGGTGCAGAAAAACTACTAAAGAATCTGTACGGCCACAGTGCAGAAGACAGTGCACAGGAAAGAGAGATAAAGGCTAAGAGCGGGGTGCTACAGGGAAATGCATCTGGGTGCAGTTGGAGTACTTTCTGGCCGAGTGTGGCTGTGCATTGCTGGAATCCTGGCACTCTGGCCAGCTGAGGCAGGAGGACTGTTAAGTTTGAGCCCAGCCTGAGCAACTCAGTGACTTAGTAGAACCCTGTCTCTAAATAAAAAAGGGCGGCTGGAGATGCAGCTCAGTTTAGTACTATAAAACCAAGCAATCCCACAAAAACAAAACAAAACAAAAGATCCTCAAAATCTTCTCGGTGCCGGAGCCCAAAAGCACTTCTGCCTCCTTCAGCTGTTATTTGTGGGTGATAGTAAGTTCCCCACAATGGAGGCTTCCAAGAAGAAATTCGATGAGCAGATGGAAAGGAAGGCTCAGACTCCAAGAAGGGGGAACGTCTGAAATTTTTTCCTAACAGCTTTGTCAAGGTGTAATTCACACACCATAAAATTCACCTTTCTAAAGTAAGACAATTCAATGTTTTACTTATCAAAGCCACAGAGTTGTTCATCCATCCCCATCACCGACTTTTAGAATGTGTTATCAACCACAATGCAATCGTTACCCACGGGCAGGCTCCCTGGCATCCCCTGCCCGCCCTGCACCACCTGGGCGTTTCTCACTGTGGAGGTGTCCGCTCGGTCTCGGTGACTGGGCATCAGTCCCCACCTTCCGTTCTCACCCGGGCTGTACTATTTGTCAGTGCTTCATTAATAGTCAGACACTGGGAATCCGATTTTATAGGTCTCCTCCAGCACTCAGTCCTCATACACTTAGCTTAGAATTTTATGTCCTTTCATATCCTAAAAGCATTTCCTAATATTCTGCACTGTTTTGCTTTGGTTTGGCTTTGCTTGTTTGAGACAGGGTTTTGCTGTATAATTCAGGCCAGGCTTGAACTCACTATGTGACCCAGGCTGGCCTTGACTTCATGATGGTTTTCCTGACCTCAGCCTCCTAAGTGTTGGGACTACAGGCATACACCACCATTTGCGGCTTTAACTTTATTACTATTTCAAATTAGACTTTTTTGGCTTGGATATGAGGTGTTGCCCCAGGCTCACTCGGTGGGAGCTTGGTAATAGGTGTAGTGTAAGAGATCAGCATAGGGGCTGGGGATTTAGCTCAGCGGCATAAGCACCTGCCCTGCAAGCAGGCGGTCGTGAGTTCAATCCCCGGTACTGGGGTTTGTGTGTGTGTGTGTGTGTGTGTGTGTGTGTGTGTGTCTCTAACCGTACTGATGACTTCATAGCTCAGTGGTTCATGGAAACTGGGGATTAACTGGACAAGGCTGGTCACTGTGAGTGTGGCTCTGAAGGTCCACCCTGTCCCTGGCCCCTACTGTCTCTGCTTCCTGCTGCTGTGAGGTGCACAGCTCTCTGGGGCCAGGCCGCCCCACCGCGGTGTCTCTGCCTCCCTTTGCCTAAAGCAATGCATGGACTGAACCTTGAATCTGTGAGCTCAAATCATTTTCCTCCTTTAGGTTATTTTGCGTAGGTATTTTTTCAACCATTGAAAAAATGATTAACACAATTCCTGCACTTCTTACTTGTCAGTGCTGGGGATCGAACCGGGGACCTCACTCACTATAGTTCCTTGCTCCACCACTACGCTACACTTCCCCCCAACGCTACCTGTAAATGAGGAAATGAAAAGGGACCACAGCAGCAATGAAACAGCGGCTACTAAGGATGCCATTTCACTGCCTCCACGCTCTGCAGCACACTCAGGGCCTCAGTTTGCCAAGGCCTGGGGGCTGTGTGGCTCTGAAGTGGAAAGCCTGAGGCCCGGACACAAGGCCTGGTCACCCCGGGACCAGGTCTGTGTGAGGCTGAGGCCCCGTACCTGCCCCTCCTCCGTGCCCACCCAGCTCCCCTGCCACTCACATGTCGTAGATGCAGTTTGGAGTGAAGGAGTGGTTCGCCTTGTGTCCCAAGGAGGCACAGTACTTGGACACGTGGTTGTAGGGCTCAGGCACATCAATGACCGTGTCCTCATCCAGGGACAGGGTGTTCCCATTCAGGGCCCAGTCCCTGTTGTCGACCTGCAGGAAAGCAGAGCAAGCTCTCTCACACCTGCTCCAAAGGAGGCCAGAGATACTCACCCCGATCCTTAAACTTCCGGGTTTGAGCACCGCAGCCATGAAAGAGACCCAAGACCCTCTCCATGTGGGGAAGGGGCGGGCAGACAGCTCCATTGCCATTGACTGATTTTTTCTTTTTTGAGACAGGGTCTCGATATGCAGTTCAGGCTGGCCTTGAGTTCACTTTGTAGCCAGGCTGGTCTCCAACTCACAATGATCCTCCTGCCTCAGCCTCCCAAGTGCTGGGATTACAGATGTGTGCACCAGTCCGGCTTTCCTTATTTTATGTAGGATAAAAGAATGTGGGTCCCTTATGAAGATGCACAGACATACACCAGATAACTTGAATTAAAAGTAGATGAAGTTGGGTGTGATGGTACATGTCTGTCATCCCAACATTCCGGGAGGCTGAGGCAGGAGGATTGCAAGTGTGAGCTAGCTTGGGCAACTGAGTGACAGTCTGTCTCAAATAATAAATAAACAAACAAACAAATAAATAAGAGCTGGGAGTACAGACCAGTGTGAAGGCTTGGTTTAAATCCCCTGTGTAGCACACAACACCACCACCAACGGCAAAGCCCTATACCTTTGCTCTGGGTAGGCACTGAGTGACCTCCAGCAGCCCGAAGCTGGTATGCTGTCCCATCTAGGACAACACCCTTATCAGGCCTCCCCTCTCCATGACACTACCACCAAGAGTCCTGGGATCTGGTGAGGCCTGAGGAATATTCGTTTGGAGAACGAATTCCTCTGACGGGTGTGTTGATTCCAGGCCCCCCCCCTCCACGGTGAGGATGCTTCTGTTTGTATGTGATGGTCACTCACCAGGTGCTTACTGGGTGGTCACCCTGTGCCAAGCACTGTAACGCTGCACGCACAGGGGCACAGCAGTCGGGGGGTGGGTCCCGCTTTCCCTCCCCTCCCTCCTTGGCGGACTGGGGATGCACCCTGGGCCTTCATACTGAGCCGTATTCTCTGTTCTTTTTATTTTTTACTCCAAGACAGGCTGCTATGCGACATGACACATGGTACTCAGTGCAATCCACCTTACGGTGCCTTTACTAGCTGTCTAGGTTTCATATCTCTCCAAGAAACCTAAAGCTACATCTAAACCTGAGTGTCACTAGGTCGAGGAAAGAGGCTGTTTATGAACACAACTCAGTGCACCAGGGTTTTGGTGCAGAGCTGGATCGGCCACTGGGACCTGCTTGGACTCTGCTAGTTATCAAATTTGTGACCTTAGGGGAATGGTTTCATTTTTCTGGAGTTCAACTTCTTCTTCTACAGACTGCTCAAATCAGGAAAGTTGAGCATCCCTAATCTGAAAATCTGAAATCCAAAATGCCCCAAAAAGTCAAAATTTTGAGGGTTGACATGACGATTGGAAAATCTAACACCTGACCTCACACAACAAGTCTCTGGTCAAAATATAGTGACACTATAACAAGAAGTTACCTTCCAGTTGTGTCTTTAAGGTGCATGAGTTTCATGTTTATCTGTGGGCCCCATCCTTAAGAGTTCTCATCAAAGGTCCATCAGCAGGACGGGATACATATCCCTCCTTCACTGTGCTAAAACTTTCAAACTTCTGTCCATTGGCAGATTCTTAGGGGTTAATTGCAAAGAGAATTAATAAATAAGCAAAAACCTTACATGAAGATTTGGAACTACATCCAAAACTGTGTCCCAAAGGCCAGCAGTGATTCATTCAACTCTTTAATTTTTCATTGTTAATCTTTTGGCACCAGATGCCTTCCCTACAGGACAAAGACTATCACACGATGAAGGCTTTGCACCAGTGGAAATGGGGAGCCTTCTTACAATGCACTGGGTCCCCGATCATTAAGGAGCCATGGACCACCCCACTGGCCCTCAGCTTCTCACAGGAGACCCTGTCTGCTAGGAAGCAGGTCCTGTGCTGCTGATGGACCTTTCCGGTTTGTGTGAAGCGGTCGTAGAACCTGAGAGGAGCTGTGTTTGAAACCAATTACGCAGATTTTCATTTCTTCAACACTCACCTCCTGGTGAGTAATTCGGACTCCATTGTAAAAAGACATGACGACGTTAGGCTCTGTGGCCGCCTTGGAAAACAGTCCTTCTCCAGCACTGGAAATGAGGGACTCCGCAACATACACCCTGAGTGGAAAAAAGCCAAGCAAGCGCGTCTCAGTGGGACGTGCTGCTCCTTCCACCTTGGTCCCCAGGCAGCGGTGTTGGAGGTGAGGGCTTTGGAAGGTCACAGGGCACTCCCCTTATCAATGGACTAGTCCACTGATGGATTCACAATTCAATGGGCTGCTGGGAGATGGTGAGGACTTAGGAGGCGGGGCCTAGCTGTAGGAAGTAGGTCCTTGCAGGAGACTCCCTCTTGGGCTACATCTTGTCCCCAGGCCCTTTTTCTCGTTCTGTCTCTCTGCTTCCTGACCACCTGGTCAGCAGTTTTGCTCCACCCGGTGCACCCCGCAGAGACATTCTGTCTTATTGCAGGCCAAGATATAATGCAAGCAAGTGGCCATGGACTGAAATCTCTGAAACTGAGAGCCAAGATAAACCTTTCTCCCTGTGGCTGTTCTCAGGTGATTGGTCACAGTGGCGAGAAGCTGATGGACACGGCCCCCGAGTGTGACCACCGGAGGTACTTTGCTTGTGGCCCGTGGGTGGAGGTGAATGCACAGTAAGTTCCTGCCAGTCTCCTTCAGAGTTTCCACCAGCCGAGCAGGCTGCTGGGGCTGCTGCTCCCATGGGGCGAGGCTTGGCATGGAGACTCCTGAAACAGACCTGAACCCAGCTTGCAGCCTGGAGTCTGGCCCAGTCCAGCTGAGCCTATTCGATCTCATTCAAAAGTGGCTGAACCTCAGCCAACCCACAGAACCATGAGGGTACAAGAAAATGTTTGCTTTTGTAAACCGCTGACCACCTTGAAGATACTGTTATGCAGCAGCATCGCAGTAACAATGCCAGGCAAGACTGATCCAGGCAGTTAAGACTCTGCCGTGCTTTGGGGCTAACAAACAGACTTAACTGTCTCCTTTGCCACTGGGCCAGAGCCTTCCATCAAAAAGTATGAATTCCACTCATTTCTTGACACTGGGGGGCCAGCCCTGTCAGTCAGGCCAAGGAAGAGGCCTGTTTCCCTGACAGGAACCGAAATGTAGTGGGAGACAAAGAGTGAGGCAAAGGGAAAGGCAAGCTCAGACTTATGCCTTACTCTAAGGAAAACCTCAGACTACCAGAAGAAGCCACACCGTGAATGGAGGACAGAGTGGCTCCACCACCACCCTCATGGGTCATAGGACACAGAACAGGGCGTGACCATCTGGGCGTGAGAATACAGAATCTGTGCTTTCTATACTTCCATCCTCTCCATCCTGAATGAATGAAATCACCTCATGTTCCAGGTGTCATGAGTCGGCCTGGGAAGGAAAGGAGGTGTTTTGCAGCCTGGCTGAGCTGCTGGGGGCACAGTGCTCCCTCCGCTGGAGGACATAAGCCATTGCAGCACCGGCATCCTAAGAAAGGGGCATGGCGGGGGTGTGGTTGCCCGGCCGCTGGTCTTTCTACCTAAAGCTTCATTCCAGGTCTGACCCACCAGCTGCTCTGTGCTTCCTGCCTCCCTGATAGGCACAGATTCTGAATGAGAATACAAGCACTCTTCCTATAGAATGTGGGTATTTACTTGGAGGGTTTGCAAAGGTACAGGACACTCCAGGGAGGAGCCCAGCCTGGGCAGAGAGCCACCGAGGAGCAGCAGCTTCGCACTAGGGCTGTAAACCTACCTAGGCAGCATGATTAAAATCACAAAGCAAAAGTTACCTCTCAGATTCATACGGGTCTGGAAGAAGAGCACTGGTAGAGATGCAAGATGAAGTGGACTTATCAAAGTGGTATGCGGGGCCTAGGAAGGAAATCAAAACGTCAGCACGGGACTGAGCCAGCAAGGAACACATAAGACACTTATCACGGATGGGACAAGAAAAAACTAAGCAACTACAGGTATTAATCCATTTATAACAAAGAGACTGCAGCTCTCGCATTTAGCTAGATGGTTGTTGGATATGCACTTTGGTTTTATTGTCTATTTTGGCTTTCTGAAGCCATTTCCATGTAGTCCACACCGATCTTGAACTGGCTGTGATATCCTGGCGGCCTTGAAGTGGCAATTGTCCTGCTTCAGCCTCCAGAATGCTGGAATTACAGGCACGGACCACTGTGTCTAGTAGTTTTATTTCCCAGTCTTAATATACGGCCATCAGATTTACTTCTTTCTTGTGTTTAATTTTTCTATTTCTTAAAATTCTCATGCTCTTGACTTTTATTTCTCCAAATGCTTTAAAAGATGTTTGGGTACCTAATTTTTAATCAAGAAAATGCTTTGTCTCGTTCACATGCCTGAGCTGCAGACAAACAGGCGACACCTTTGCTTCTACTCTGAATTTTCAGACCTTTCCAGCTGGGTCATGCTGGAATTGGCTTTTAAATTATCTCGTGCTTTTCTTCACACCAGAGCCAGGCTGTAAAATCTAACCAAGGCTCCTTTCCTAAGAATAAACATTCAGCTTCAACAGAATCAGAACAGCGCTGCTGTGACTGAGCATTAACAAAGTAATTTTATTTCTATTAACAGAACCCAACCAGTAATTCACTCCAGAAACTAAGTCTGTGACTGTCCTACAATTACGGTTGGCCCTAACAAAGGATTAGCCTCTGAGAATCCTCCCGGAGCACAGTGAAGACCTGTGATGTTGTGAAGGGTAATAAATAAATAAGATTTAGAACTTGAGGGCTTACTCCTGTAAAGTAAAATATTTTAGGCACCAAGACATTGATAATAATTCTGCTAAGCAATTCTTTGTGGTTACCAGGTGTGTGTTTTTGTATATAGCCCAACCCTAAATTAACGACTCTACCTAAAAGTTAGATCGCAGTCCCAATCAGCCTGTGCTAACTAGGAAATAGACCACGGAAGTACTTCCAGAGAGAGAATTTAACTCAGGGAATTACACAAGTGACAGAAGACCTTAGAAGTCAAACTGGAAGCACCGTGCCGGGCACCGGAAGCCGCCACCCCGAGCCAACGGGACAAGGAGGAGCTGGCACCTTGCACCGCGGCGCTGGGGTGGCCTGGCAGCCGCAGACAGGCTTTCCGAGTGGGAGCCGGAAGCGGGGCGACAGCCAGGCTTCCCTCTGCTTCCTTCCCCTGCTCTGTCCACCCAGGGGCTCCCTTTGGCCAAAGCTAGACGAAAGTCAGGCTTCTGCAGAAGCCACTTGCAATAGAAGCAGGCAGAGAAAGAGTGAGGAAGAGGTCTGAGGCAAATTGATAATGGACCAGCAGAGCCCACAAAAGGCAATTTGTTTTAAAAAAAGAAACACCATTTTATGCAACTTTTTTTCTTCCAGGGTTGAACCCAGGCCTTGTGCATGCTAAGGAGCATTCTACCAACGAGCTACCTCCCCAGTGCGATCCGAAGCTTTGTGTGGACTCTAGCCCTCAGCACCAACAGGCTCAAGGGCCGGGTTAGGTTCTGTGCCTGCGCCTACGGGCTGTGCCCACAGGGCACTGCCGGTGTGAGGTCTCTCTCCAGGCCTCCCACGCGCCCTCCGGCTTGCCTGAGCTACAGGCAGAGAGGCTACACCTTTGCTTCTGCTCTAGTTTGTTCTGTGACCTTTGATTAGAATGCAGTCATTCACTCAGCAACCGTTCATTATCAGAGGGGGGCCACGACCTGAAGACCTCCGAGTGGGAGTTAGCCAGGAAAAGGTGTTTATGTGGAGGGGGAAGAGAGAAGAAATTCCAGCCGGAGGCAGACAGAAAAAAAAAAAATAGAGATGATCATTCTCAAAATCTATTTCTTCTTTGGACCAACACGAATGTAATCACAAAAATACTTGATGGTGTTTCACGGTAGGTACTAATATTAATATTTAATAGTGAAGAAGCAGATTCTTGCCTAAGAGTCACATTGTGTAAACTGAGATTCAAATTAGGCCACTCTTTTTTGTTTGGTTGGTTTGGTTTTGTGTTTTTCAGACAGAGTCTTGCTCTGTAATTCAGGCTGGCCCTGAACTCACTTTATAGCTAGCCCAAGCTGGCCTCAAACTCACAGCAATCCTCCTGCCTCAGCCTCCAGAGTGCTGGGGTTACAAGCAGGCAACTCTTAAGTTCTGGTTCTTGACACCAAAGATGCTGTCATTTACAAAGTTTTAAAATATGCATCCCTGGGGCTGGAGGTTTAGCTCAGCGGCATAAGCGCCTGCCTTGCAAGCATGCAGTTGTGAGTTCGATCCCCGGTACCGATAAAAAGGAAAAAGACAAAAAAAAAAAAAATAAAATAAATAAAATAAAATAGAATAAAATAAATAAAATAAAATATGCATCCCCATGCTGGGGGTGTAGCTCAAAGGTAGAGCACTTGGGATGCCTGGTGGTGATCCCCAGCACCAGTCAGCTAATTGATCAATTGAATTAAATTTGCATCACCAATTAGGACCTTTCCTGTCCCACATCTCCTCTCTAAATATACAACACTATTTTTTTTCAGTGCAAAGGTCAAAAGCACAAATACTACAGCTCACAGTTTAAAGATTATGGTTTCCTTTTTAAAAAGATATCTTCCATTTTAGAATAGTTTTAAATATATAAAAAAATTATAATGCTAGCACAGAGAGTTCTCACTGTTTCTCCCAAAGTTAGCTTTTTACATGACATGGTACATTTGTCAAAAGCATGAAACCAACATAGACCCATTACTATGAACTAAACTCTAGACTTCATTTAGATTCCACTGGCTTTTCCACTAATATCTTTTCTGTTCCAGGATCCAGTCCAAATCCCACACTGCTTTGGGACTGCTTCAGTTTTTAACTTAAGAAGTAAAACTGGAGACATTTATAGCAATTTAAGTTGAACCTAAATTTAAAGTTGAGAGATCCCAGTTTTGGACAACTCCCCACGGAGATTATCCTTCAGATTCCAAGTAGTTAAGTATTAATTAGGCCCATTACTACCGCGACTTACTACCTTTTGGACTGTTTTATCCTTGTAACCTATCTTGGACCCGACACACATGCAGACACGGCTTTTAAGGAGCCAGACCTCATTCAGCTGGCTTTCTTCTGCTATGCCACTCAAGACACACGATCCTGAGTTTTTCTATATATTTTTCCTGTTTTCTACAAAAAAGTGATTTTTTGTCAGCACTGGGGACTGAACCCAGCACCTCATGCTTGCCACTGAGCTACATCTCCAACTCCTTCTAAAATTTTTGAGACACAGTCTCAGTAAGTTACCCAGGCTGGCCTTGACCCTGTGATCGTCTTGCCTCAGCCTCCTGAGGATTCGGGGACGTGCGTGTGCACCACGATGCCTGGCTAAAATAATTTTATATCCAGAAAACACTGTTTCAGTGCGGCATGTTGTACTTCTCAAAGGAAACACGCGGTTTTTTAATAAGGATTCTGTCAGGCGCGGGCATGAGCTGAGTGTGTGCCCTGTTTGAGGGCAAGTGAGCCATGGTACATTTATCTCTGCAGTCAGAGTCCAGGAGGGAGCAGCTGGACAGTGTGCAGGCCTGTGGCGAGCTACCAGACCTGTTCTTCAGTCTCACTAAACCACGGGACTGTGTTCTGGAGCTAGGACCACCAGAAACTGGTTAGAGTAGCACCATCGGCTCTGTGTTCGAATTGTCCTGTTCAGTGTCTCCCACCTCCGTGCCTCCTGAGCAGGTTTGCTCTCTCCCACTCCTGTTTGAATCTGGCTCTGTGATTTGCTCTGATCAAGGAAGGGTGGGTGAAAGGGTTACCGTGTCAGCTCCAAAGGGTGGCTATGTGGAGCACCACAGTGAGCAGCAATGCTCAGACGCCTCTACGATCTGCTGGGAGGAAAATCTCGTTCAAAGTCGCCACAGTCCTCAGCTTCAGGCCCACCGCCCAGACAGTGCCACGGAGTGCAGCTGCCAGGATGGCCCTGGGCTGTGAAGCATCGGTGGGATGTGCAGCCCACAGCCAAGCTGACTCACTCACCCCCAAACTGCTAGGCACCCGGACCCATCGGAAGCTGCCTCAACTTACTTCCTGGCACGAGCTCAAACTGAGGCCTGCCTTCCTCGATAGACAGCAGAGTGGCCAGTTTGGCCTCGATCATCTCTCCGTCGATGAATTTTCCGTACAGCGCCATTCTCCCGTCAGGGTACACGTAGGCTATCTTCTCGCCAGTCATCTCCCCGTCTTCATTGACTTCTCCTACAAGGCTGCCTCCGTCCTGATGGGAGAACCCAAACCCAGAAAATATTACATATAGTATTTATGTACAGGGCCTAAGTTCAAGAAGTTTTTCTTCTGCACGATTGCATAATAGCTTACACTTAATAGGGATAATAATAGTTTAAGAACTGAGAGCTTCTGACAGGAGTAAGAATAGGATACATAGGAGGTGCGAAAGAAAACCATAGTGAATACCTAAATGTATTATTATTTTGTCCTTTGGGACTGAGTTTCACTGTGCAATTCAGGCTGGCCCTGAACTCACTCTGTAGCCTAGGGTCGCAGGGATCCTCCTGCCTCAGTTTCCCCAGTGCTGGATTACAGGTGTGGGCCACCACACCCAGCCTGAAAGTGAGTTCAAGGCCAGCCTGAACTGCTCAGCGAGCCCCTGTCTCCAAACAAATAGACCAACAAAACAAACAAGGAAAAAAAAACCCAAACAAAAACTATGCTCTTCCTTCCTAATACTAGACTTTGGGTTTTAATCTTAAAATTTTCAGTTTAAATGCATATGGCTGTCACAACCCCTGACGCAGGGCAGGCTTTATTTGTGCCTTTGCCCTGTTTTTCATCCCTTGGCTCCAGCTCACTCTCAGCTCCTTTCCCACTCTTCACTTTTACTTTCTTGAATGAACTTTGTCACTAGTAAAAAAAAAAAAAAAAAAAAAGTAGGCTTAATTATTCGTTACACATGAGTAAAGATAGAGTTGTGTGCATTTCCTAAGAGATAAACAAAAGATTTTCCAAGAATTGGGCTTTCTAAGAATCCTACCCTATCCTGTCACCTTTTTTTTGGAGTTGAGAAGAAAAAGGGAAACGGAATAACTGAATTCTGCGCCTTTCGGAGTCACCTCTTCCTTCTCACTCTCTGATGCCTGCTGCCTCTTCCCAGTCTCCCAGAGGAGGAGCTGGCTGGCTTCAGGCCTGAGGGTCACAGAGTGCTTCAGGGCAGAGGCTACAGCAGAATTCTGCATCCCGACAGATGCCTGGGACATGTGTGTGTGTGTGTGTGTGTGTGTGTGTGTGTGTGCGCACGCACGCGTGTCTGTGTCTGTCTGTCTGTCTGTGTGCCTGGGGATTGAACCCGGGGCTTTCACACTGAGCTACATCGCCAGCTGTTTAAAATTCTGAGACAGGGTCTCACTAAATGAACCAGGTTGGGTTTGAACTTGGGATCCTCCCTCAGCCTCCCAGAGGGCTGGGATGCTTACTTTTTTAATTGGGGTACCAAAAAGTAATGAATGATTTAACATAGGGTGCCAGACATGATCCCTTTTTCTTTCCCCAAAAGAAAGTCCTTAGGGTGTGGCGTTGATCCCATCACTCAGGAGTTTGAGGCAGGGGAATTGTTGCAAGTTCGAGAGCAGCCAGGGCTACAAAGTGAGCTCAGGGCCAGCCAGAACTGCATAGGAGACCCTGTCTAAAAACAAGGAGGAGGAGGAGGAAGAGGAGGAGAAGCTGCTCTTGAGGGTTTGCTACAATAGCAGTGTGACATCTTCAGAGGCCCAGTTAATTTCTCTGACCCATAAATCCAACTCAGTATGCAGGGCGACTTTTGCGTGTTCCCAAATGTTGCTCCCAAACTCAGCAGAAGTAAATATCGTCCCACAGTTGATTCTATGCCTCACCACAGTCTAATTGCTTGGGGTCAGGAGTAGTTGTAAATTTTTTTTTTTTTTTTTTTTTTTAATCATGTGTCCTAAGCATGAAACAGCTCTGGCCACCAACCAGGCATCAAGCTAGGATGAACAAAGGACTGTTGTCTACTCTGCCCCTGACTGATACAAGAATAACACCACCAATGAGGTGTCTCTTTGCCCAATGCCAGGGGGGTGAGTAGTTGTAAATTAAAACAAATCCCAGCACATCCACCAAAAGAAAACTATTTGGAAGCTTTCTGCACAGATGGAGTGCGGTAGGGCTGTATTTTTGGCCTCTTCCTCCCAGCTGAGTGTTCCTAGGTGGTGCGAGTGGGGGAGCACGTGTGCAGGCACTATTGCAGGCCAAGACGTCACTGGTCACTTCAAACAGAAGCATTTCGCGGGCCTCACACCTTCTCCCTGCAATGCTTTAAGACTCTGGTTTTGCAGGAAATGTATTTATTCTTTGGCAGTGATGAAACTAAAATCCTTTTTTGATTTCCAAGAAAAGGGGTTTTATAATTAAAACCTTTGTATCACAGTTTGAGGGACATCTCTGTAAGAAACAAATTCCTCCTAGGGGGAGCCTGTCAGAAGACAGCACTGTCTTTTCCTCCCTGTTTGGCGTGGACACCAGGGCCAGGCAGCCGGTCTGCTCCACCTGGGCCGCTGGGAGGAAGCCGCTGGGAGGAAGCGCGGCTTCGCCCCTCTGCCCGCTTGGCTCCCCCTGGCGGAAGGAGGAGTCACTTGCTTGACTGGTGAGAAGTCGGGCTGACACCTCCTCCTCTGCCGGGGGACATTACCAAGGGAAAGCCTGCTCCCTGGTGTCATGCTTCATTTTTTCCCTCAACCTCTCCGGGTCCAGGTCCTGGCAGTGCCTGTGGCCGCTGCCCCCGTTCCGTGTCTGCCTGGAGCTGGTCGCTTGGTTCAGGTCACAGGGGAGCAGCAGAAGCTCATTTTGCCTCTGGGTCCAGGCCACGATTCCAATCCGACCGTGCCACAGTAACACCCAACTATTCGATCCCTGATCTCTATTTCTTAATTGATGCAGAATCCTGAGAGAGGGGCGTGATTGATGCAGGCACCTTCTGCCAGCGCTGGAAGCTGTGGCTCCCCACAGCGCCCTTCCTCGTTTCCAGAGGTAATAGTTGGGGCTACGTTTCTAGGTCTCAAGAGGCAGCTGCACTGAGAGAGGTGCACCACGGACCAGTCTTAGTGCACCTTTGGTCTCATACGGAGACTCGAGTGGGTCCCAGTCACGGGTGAAACGTTGGGCGTGAGGCCCCTGAGCGCCCCTCCCCCTCTGCCTGCACAGAGCTGCGCTTCTGGCCTCTGCTCGCTGGGCAGTCAGAGCGCCCAGCCTGCACGGGGAGAGCTCAGCCTCGCTCCCAGGAAGCCGGGTCTCGGTTTCCCATGATGGTAAGGGCCTCCTTCCCACCCTGCGTGTCTGCTTTAGGCCAGTGAATGAAATGAATTTTGACGGACCACAGATTGTACCAAGAAGGTATGTAAATCACAGGTAATTCTTAGGAAACGCTTTGTAGTGTTCTTTTCCTAGAGCCTTGCTGACACACTTCCTCCCTGCCTCGCTGAGAGCTGCTGCCCTGCAACCTTGCTTAGGCTAGCCTTGAACTTCCGCCCCCAAGAGGTCCTCCTGCCTCAGTCTCCTGAGTAAGGGGACTCTGGGTGTGTCTCACCTCACAGATAAACTAATTTCTTTAGAACAATTTTGTATAAGCAAATCTAGCAAAGGCTACTTTTCTCATTACACATGCAATAATTTATTTTTGTTAGTACTTTTTAATCATGAGAAGGAAGGTTTCAAGTTAGCAAAAGTGTACTTTCAGCTATGATCATAATAAAATGTTAAATATTTCCTAAGATCTATTTTCTGAAACGTTTTCTGGAAATTTGCTCACAACAGATGGGATATTTGAAATGCAAACAAAAAACTACAGCATTGATTCTCAGCCATGGGCTTTGCTGTGTCTGTGTCTGTTTGCTCTAATAAATTCCAGAAACACTGTTTTCAAGTACCCAAAGTAAGTTCATTTAAATAGTCTGAACCGAAGCAATATATTATAAAACACTTTCAAAATTAATGAGATTCTAAAATTAAGCAACAGTGGTGTATAAACTAAAAAAAAAAAAAAAGGTAAAATATTAGATTCAGTCTTAGTTATGAGAAACAGAATAAAATTACCAGCAACACTGCCCTCATCACTGCCTTTTTCTATACGCTAAAGGAATCAAAAGCAATATATTTATTAATGCTTTAAGAAAACCAATTTGTCCCATTCATGATTAATCTTCCCCCAGATGACTGACAGTTCCTGGGGGTGAACCCAGAGTCCTACACTGAGCTGGATATACCCCACCCAGTCCGTTCTATTTTTTATTTTGAGACAAGGTCTTGATAAGTCATTAAGTTGTTTGGGCTGGGCTTGAACTTGCAATCCTCTTGCTTCAGCCCCCCCAGAGTGCAGGGATTATGGATGTGTGCCACCAGGCCCTGCTTACATTTTACGGTTTATCATGAGCAATCTTTTTTTTTTTTTGTACAGGGGATTGAACTCACAAGCTTGCACTTGCCAGGCAAGCGCTTGTGCCGCTGAGCTAAATCCCCAGCCCCAGCAATGAGGAATCGTAAGACCTGTTACTTCCCATAAAATGAACCATCATAGGCTTACTGGATAGTAGATCCAGCACACTCCGTGCCGAATGTTGTCTTTGTACTGTCCCTTGAAGATCAGCCGCCCGTCTGAGTCGTACTCCTGCGCCGGCCCGTTCAGTTCCCCATCCACATAGATGCCCTCGAGGACTCCACCGTCCTCATAGGTGTAGATGCCCTGGCCCTGCAGGGCATCGTCCACGTAGTAGCCTTCTAGGGTGCTGGAAGAGAAGAGAAACAGGAAGGGTCAGACAGGACCCCACTCTCCAAATGTCAGGACCATATGTGAGGCTCCGACAGCCCAGCTGGACCAGGGGTCCTCTGGCCTCCTCCTCAGTGCCTGCTCGGCAATCCTGCCAGAGGACTGGACGAGATGGGCAGCGGGGAAGAGGTTCACCATCACCTCCTTAGAGCAATGTCCTCTTCCAGCTGGAGGGAGAGAAGCAGAAGCTGCAGATGGGCACTAAGGGCAGGTGTCACTAAGTCTGTCCCCCAGCCTGGGTGCCAGGTGTTCCATGTGCAAGCGCTCCTGTCTATGTGCCTCAAAAGTGGCCCAGGGTGGGTCCAGCTCAATGGCACAGCACTGCATGGCTTGTGTGGATCCCATCTGCACTGTGACCCAGGATTCCCTGGTGGCTCTCCAGGGTCCTTCTGAGGTCTCGAGTGCACGGTTAGCCAGCGACATGCGTGAAGTCGGGATTCGCGGACCGCTACAGACGCCCTTGTGTGCATGCCTTCGTGTCAACTCACCAAGGTCAGCATCTGTGATGGCTGTAATCACCCTGGCTCTTCAGTGGTTATGTGGGCGTTTAAGTATGCATGTGTTACACAGGCAGTCACGCTCCATTTAATAGTGAGGTGGCTCCTGAGAAACATGTGTCAGGCCATTGCGTGGGCAGACTTTGCCGTGTGCTCACACAGACACATGGGGCACGGCACTGCACGCCCAGGCCGGGCTCATCTTATGGGACCAAGGTCACACTTGCTGGCCACCCAGCTGTCTTACATGGCATGTGGTGTACACAAAGGAAGGCAGGACACGCACACACCTGGTACAGACCACTACAGCTGGCCCAGAGGACTGAGCTGCAGCATCACTTCGGCCTGGTTTTGCGGTTGCTTTTTATTCATACACATTTGCGGGACACGTATTTCACAGTCATCTTGGTGTGTGAGTGCCTGTGTGTACCTAATGCGACCTGCTGCTTTTTAAAAAAATCTCTTTCCTTTCCGCTTTCCCCTCCCCTCCTCTTCTAATTCCCTTTCCCCGTTTTCCCCCTTCCTGACATTCTCAGCCTTAAATTGTGCTTACAGCCCACAGTGTTTGCTTTCAGGAGTTTAGCAGGTTGCTGTGGGGGGCAGATCTTTATTCTCCTTGTTTCTCTTTGCCCTTGGTCTCTGAGTCTTTCCCATCTGCAGAAAAATCTGAAGTTAATGAATGGCCAAGAACCACCTATAATTAGTGAATGAGAAGCAAAGGGAAGTGCCCAGAGCCTCTGCTGACGTTGTAATTACACTGTGCCCTCTCCCGGGGAGGTAAACAGTTCTTGCAGCTTTGTGAGACCAGTGACAACAAGCCGGCTAAATGCATGCAGAGGATACAGCACACTTCAGCATAGCCCCTGCACAAAAACCGCAGTCCACACCAGGTAGGCTGGGACCCACCTTGGACTTTCACAGGTAAACAAAAGAAAATGATTTTGATGAAGGGTTAGTGATCTGACACGATGATGTGACATACAAGAGAAAAAAACTAATCCTTTATCTTCATTTTTTTTTTTTGCATTGCCAGATAAAATACAAGATGCTTGGTTAGGTTTGCAAATAAAAGAATAATTCTCTAGTGTAATATGTCCAAAATATTTTTTGAGGCAAATCTCAGCTTGGGTAGTCTTGAACACCTAAGGTCAAGCAGTCTCCTGCCTCTCCTTAGTAGCTAGGACCACAGACATGAGCTCTGTGCCTGGCCCACATTTTAATAGTATATAATTTGTGTGTGTGTGTGTGTGTGTGTGTGTGTGTGTCATAGTGGTGGTGATGGGGTGAACCCAGGGTCTTTACACTGAACAATATCCCACCCCTTTTAAAAATTTTTATTCTTAATTTTGATTTTGGTTTTTGAAGATAGAGTCTCCCAATGTGATTCAGACTGGCCTTGAATTTACTATGTAGCTCAGGGTGGCTTCAAATTTTTGGTAATCCTCCTGTCTCAACCTTCCTAGTACTTGGATTACATGCATGCATGGTGTCAGTTTGGTTTTTTTTTTTGGAGATGGGGTCTTGTTAAAATTTCCCAGGCTGGCATAAGCGCCTGCCTTGCAAGCAGGCAGTCGTGAGTTCGATCCCTGGTACCGATGAAAAGGAAAAAGACAAAAAAAAAAAAAAAAAATTTGCCCAGGCTAGCCTCTAAATGGAGATCCTTCTGCCTCAGCCTCCTAGAGTACTGAGATGACAGGTGTGTGTTGCCACGCTCAGTTGAATGGTACACCTTTATATTAAATGTTTTTGTTGTTTATCTGAAATTCCCATTTTACTGGATGACTCAGATTCTTATCTGCTAATCTTGGTAACCGTACTGGCTTTGGATTTTCAGCAGCATTCCTGTGTGTGTTTAGGTAGAATTATCCTGATAGATTAGTCTGCTAACATTGCTCAGGTTTCTGGTCAACCCTATGAGGCCTAGGCCTTGCGAATCACTTAAAAAATAACAAGGCCCTGTGCCTTTCCCCTGCCCGTGGGTGGTTGGTTCTTTACTCCTGTGAATGGAGCCTCCTCTCTCAGGGCCCTGAACAGAAATTACTGTTTCCCTCTTAGCCCAGCTGACCTACTGTCTTGTACTGATCAGGCCCACAACCTCCCAAAGAGTGGACAGTGAAAGTTAAAATAAGAGACAAGTGGTATGATTTTGCGGTTCCAGGAGGACCAACACCCTCTGGCAGAGTTCTAGATTCTCTGGGGGATGAGACCAAGAATGCCTCTGGGTGGCCTGTGTGTATTTGGATTTCAGACAAAGGGAGAGGTTACTGGGGGAACTGTGGGAACTGAGCAGGACCCTGGGCGTGGGTTCAGGACCTTTTCAAGCAGTAAATTACACCAATCTCGAGAGCTATCTTATCTCCAGGTGGATGCTTACTGCAGTAGGGGAGCCCGCAGCTGCAGTCTCTATCTAGTTAATTAAGGCTGGAGCCAGGAGTCCTCTGCTGTGGCCTTATCTTGTCCTTGGAGGCCTCATGGCATCACAGGCCACTACAGGCCACAGCCGGGACCAGTGACTCATAGAGGTTCCCGGGCTATGAGTCTGCTGCCCACCTCCAGACAAGGGGCCTAGGCCTGGGACAGACCCACAAGGAGACATGGAAAGCCAACTGCTTGATTTTAAATCCTGCTGAGGGCTGCTTTGCAGTGGTCTCCAGCAACTAACGGGTCCACAGATTCTTAAGGCACCGGGGAACCAGTCCTGCTGCATTACTTTCTCAGCCGCTGCCTGGAGACACAGCTTAGTTTACTCGGCAGCTTTTTCTGGTAACAGGAGGAATCTGATGACAACAGGGACCTGTTACACACTTCAGCTGGGTTCTCCAAAAAATCAAAATGCTGTCTTCGAGATCCCGGCACTGACGAAATGAGGGAAAAGCTGCACAGATTGGCGTTCAAGGTGCCACCTTCCTTCCTTCCTTCCTTCCTTCCTCTCTTTCCATCAATCATGCTTCTGCTGTTTTTGTAAATAAAGTTTTATTGGAACACAGCCTTGCACACTCCTTTCTGTGCTTTTCGTGGCTGCTTTCACTCTGGGCCAGGAATCGGGGATGGAGTCCTTACTGTGTGTCCGTCCACAACCCCCACCCCTGGACAAAGCCTGCCATCTCCTGCCCTAGAATCCTCTGCGCACATTTGTTTACTCACTGACCTCGGTAAATCTTAGCCGATGTATTATGTTTTTCTTTGAGTGGTCTATTATTATTATTATTATTATTATTATTATTATTTTTTTTTTTTGGTACCAGGGATCAAACTCACAGCCTCACATTTGCCAGGGAGGAGCTTATGCCATTGAGCTAAATCCATGGCCTCTTTGTGTGGTCTCTTAAAACATATGTGAGCTACGTCTAAGTTTCTGAAAACACATTCAGGTAAAACAAAACCAAAAAACAAGAAAACTAAAAACCATTTATGAGCTACACTTCCTTCCTAGCCTTGAGAAAATAATGAATATTCTCAAATCCAAAATGTACAATAGGTATTGTAAAAATGAAAGGGAAAGAAAGTGCTCAAAAGGGAAGAACAACCGGGATGGGGAAAGAGAAAAGCAGAAGGGAAAAGATTATATGTACACAGTTATGCGTATGTGTGTGTGTGTGTGTGTACGATAGGTAACTATACTATTAATACCTGTTAGTTCATCAAAGAGCAGTTTGTGCTTTCATTTGACCATTTTTTTTTTTTTTTTTTGTCTTTTTCGTTTTTATCGGTACCGGGGATCAAACTCACGACTGCTGCTTGCAAGGCAGGCGCTTATGCCGCTGAGCTAAATCCCCAGCCCCAATTTGACCATTTTTGATGCCTAAATCTTGTAACCTGAACTATTTTAAGAAAACAATATGCAATACATTAACCATTTTAATTTCCTACTATTTTTTTGAAATTCTGTATCATTTGTATCTTTTTGTTTTGTTTTTAAAATAAAAAATAACTAATATTCTCAATTCTCTGGCATATTTTGTGTTGAAGAAAGGAACTGATGCTATTTTGCAGCCACGGAAAAGTTAACGTGTGCTCAGAGCTGAAAAGAACACAGAAGCAGCTTTCTTCTCTGTCCTTTCTTCTCTGTCTCTCCGGACTGAGAGCTGTCTGTGTTTGGGAGCGGAGCCTCCTGATTTCCCTGGAGAAGCCCCACTTCCCCAAATCCTCTGAAGCCTGAGCAGGAGGTGAACCCCACCGCCACACAGCCGGGCCCTGCAAGGTTATAGAACAGCCAGGTCTTTCCTGACAATCAATTATGAACAGAAATGGAAGAAGGCTCCTTTGGCACCGAGAAAACCGGTGTGGAAGAAACAAGGTTACTCAGGTGCACTGCTTGCTCCTTGGCTGGATTAGATGTGTACAGGGTCTACATGGCAGGAGGGCTTCTTACACGCTCTGTGCTTCATTTGTCACTTGCAAACTGGAGCTACAACAGGGCTGTTGCAGGATTGAAGGGGTTAATGTGTGTCAAAAGCTTGGG